AGGGCAGTCACTCCCGGCTCCCCCTCCCATCGAGGGGACCCGTTCAGGCCTCCTGGGACTCAGGCCTCCTGGGACTCGGGCTGTGGGTCCACCTCTGGTCTTGGCTTCAGGGCTTCCTACGCCTCGGTCGGGGCGGGTGGCAGTGCCCTGTCCCAGAGGCTGCGTCCCCAGCAGCCCAGCTTCTGATCCCCTGGCTCTAGACTAGGGAGGTCGCCAGGTAGTGAGACACAGCCCTGAGCTCACGTTCACCTTCCCTCGCAGAAGAGGCCCCTCAGGCCCGGGGAGGGCTCCCTGGAAACCATGACCCACACCATCCGCTGCTCGTGACTCCCGGGCCCAGGCCCACGGCCGGACGCGGCTCCCCCAGCCCGGACACTGGCCGTCGCGGCTCTACTCCCACACGGCGGGAACAAGACGCCCGTGGAAAAGCAGGGCCGGTTCCCTGAGCTCCAATCCACGACCATATGCACAGGGCGGGGCCAAAGGAGGTTCAGAGAGTTCATTCTTGCTTTATTATTAATTATTGCATTGTTTTCCATACCAACAACTGTGACCCTACTTTTGCCCGCACTGTATCCTGTGGGCCTCGGAAAAGAATGGAGGGGTGGGGGGCCCGTCCTGCTGGGGACCTCAGAGACGACCCTGCGCTCAAGCCTGCAGGCCGACATATTCGATGCTCTCCTGAGGCCCCTCACCCCGCCCCGCAGCCACGGACAGGGTGCACGGGCGGATGAAAGGCTCTGACAAGGCCTGCGGAACGAAGCCTGTCTCACTGTCTAACGAAAGTTACTTTGCAAAATGTATTTGACCTCGGAAGGTTTCAGGTGTGTTTTTCTCTCAGTTCCTATTTAATGTCCCACTGAGCCGGCTGGAGAGGCACCAGCTGTGCGGAGCCGGGCATGTCCCGCGCCTCTGGCCGAGGACGAGGTATTTTTGGATGCCAGCGGCACACAGAGAGATTGCCATCTCCACGCTGGGTGGTGCCGGTGACCTTGGCTGGTTAAAATGCGCAGAAGGGCCGCGGAACCCGAGAAGCACATTGTGAGGACGGCGGCGGGAGTCCCAGGGTCAGGCCCACGGGCCCTGCGGCACGAGTGCGAGTGCGGGGGAAGCTGCCCAAGGTCACGGGGTTGGTCACTCCTGACCCAGACCCAGGTGCCCCCCCCTGCCCCCCGC